CTCCTGGTGAATCAGCTGATATGGATGCCACGGTAGGAGCAGAGCATTCCCGGGGGGATGTGTCAGAGCTGTCGGTGCTGCTGCACCAGGAGCAAGGCTGGGCGGGGAGGAAGTCACCACAGGGGTCCTGTCTCCAGGTGCCCTGTAGGAGGCCTCATTCTTCCTTGCGCACAGAGGGTCCAGCTCTCAGAAAGCAAGGAGAGGTCAGGGGGTCCAGCAGGCAAGGAGAGGCTAGCCTTGCTCTGACTCCACTAGAGCAGGGGAGGACCAGGGCTTGAGCTGCAGACACAGAGGCCTTGACTCAGCTGACACTTGGCTGCCGGTGCCTGCAGACAGGCCCAGCACTGACCGCTGCCTCCCTGTGCTAAAAGGAAGGGAGGCCCAGGCCTCGGGAGGCCCCTCATTTGCCTTGTCCGCTGTGTGTCCCTGGCACCCTGACTGCCTTTCTGTCCTGCTGTCCTTCCAGAACCCCATGTTCAGTGATGCATCCCTTCCCAAACTCCTGTCCAGTAGCGGTCAACTCCAGCTCCACCATCCACCTCAACCATGGAGCAAGGCCTCATGCAAGAAGGAATCCAGCCAGAAGCTCTCTATTTACCACCCCACTTCACAAGCACACCCATGGGGGACAGGAGCCTGGCAGCGGGGGCGGGGTGTCTGGGAGTGTTTCGGGCGTGTCTGGGGTGCCGGGAGGGGAGTGCAGCTTCCCGCCCCAGGCCTCCTGGGCCCCGTTCCAATTTTCCACTTGAGAAACTGCTCTGACTATTAAATATTCACCCCAGCAAGGCAGGCCCTGCTCCCTGGCCACGGCTTCCAAAAAAAGAAAACAAAGGGAACATGGAGGTAGAGACGGGCCAGCAGGGCAGACACCCCTCAAGACCAAGCCGCCCTCGGGGCAGAGGTCAGGGAGTGGGGCGTCCTAACTGCGCCTCTAGCTAAGGCTCTGTCCAGGCCAAGCCCCCTCGAGGCTCACCCCCCAACACCTGGGCAGTTCCCAGACCCAGCCTCACCCCTTCCCACTGGAGCTGCCCAAAATGTGGAGCCAGGCAAGGTGGCGCACACCTGTCATCCCAGCTGCCCAGGAGGCTGGGCAGATTGCACCTTAACAGCCAGCCTGGGCAACTCAGGGAGACCCTGTCTCAGAATAAAAAGGGTGGCGGGGGCTGGGGCTCAGCGGTAGAGCGCTTGCCTAGCACGTGTGGGGCCATGGGTTCCATCCTCAGCGCCACATGAAAATAAAATAAAGGTATTGTGTCCAACTACACCTAAAAATAAATATTAAAAAAGGGCTGGGGTAGCTCAGTGGTAAGGCACCCCTGGGTTCAAACCCCAACACCAAAAAATGGGGGGTTCCTTCCCTCCTAGTAGTTGCTCCCTGCCACCTGTCCATCTTACCCCCAGACCCGCCGGTTCTGCTGCTGCGGTTCTTTGCCGGGCTCTCCAGGCCTCGGCAGGAGCCCCTTTCCTGCACTCCTTCTCGTTAGGAGCTGCTCCTGGTCTCCACTGGGTGGGCCTTCCTCCAGGAAGCCCTCCTGACTCCCCACTACCTGAGGCCATATGGCCACAGCAGAGCTTGCCTTGTGTCTGCAAACGCTGGGTGAATCCCTGCTCTGCTCACGTGTGACCTCCTGTGTCCCAGGGCCCTAGGACACACTGGCTCTGGGTGGCTCTCAGACACAGATGGATGGGTGGACAGGCAGAGATGGGTGGCATCCTCTGCTTTTCCGATTGTCCTCGAGTGCAGGGTGTGGAAGCGACTGAGGAGAGCTTGGCTTTCACTCCTGGACTAGGTGGCAGAGACCCGCAGGTGGTCAGTGTCCCACCTGGCTGCCGGGGTCAGGCTCTTTCCTGCTTACACCTACACCTCCCCCATGCCCTGGGCAGTCAGCCCCAGCTGAACCCCAAACACAAAGGCCTTCTGAAAGGAAGTCATAGGAGGGAAGACAGAGAGGGTCAGAGTCAGGAAGAGTTGGGTCAGCCCAGCAATCCAGGGGCTTCCTGGAAGAGGCAACAATTAGCCCAGGACAGATGAGCATGTCTAGGCAGAGAGAGAGAAGGCTTTCCTGCTGCAGCCTTGGGTGGGGGTAGGCACACAACTGCTTGGGCACGTGGAGGCTGGGGGCTCCACCAGTTCCACCCTTTTGCCACTCCTGGGCCCTGCCCACCCCTTGCCCTGGCTGTACCAGGTAAGCACAGCCTGAGGTTTAGGACAGGAACCAGAGGCCAGGAGACAGCACAGCCTCAGCCCTGGACTGCCCAGCTTGACCCCTGGCCAGGGAAACAACTTGGAGTGTTGCCAGGAGCAACAGCACCCCCAGTGTGGCTTCTGAGAACCTACCTCATTCAAGAAGGGTGGCATCCCAGGGTGACCATGGCTACCTCCTCCTCATTGCCCAACCTGGCCATGGATACTTCCAGGCTGAGAAGGGGCCTTGGAAGCCCTGCTCCTGGTGGGACAGGGCAGAGCCTGCACCTGTCAGACCCACATCACTGCCCAGAGCAGGCCGACCTGACACCCAGGAGTGGCACTATGGTGCAGGACCTGGCCTTCCTCTCTGGCCTCAGGGTCCCAGCCCCCCATCACTGTGGACAACCTGGTCAGGAATAACACTGCAGTGCCAGCCCAGAGCCTTCCTGGCTACATAGCTGCAGCTCGGGTGGCAGCCCTCGGCGCCACTGGCAGAGGCAAGATCCAAGCCTGCAGCCCCCTAGCCCCATAGCATGCAGAGGCACAGCCGGCTGCAGAACAATCCTGGAAAGACCCCAGTTACACTCTGGCCCCTTCCTGGAGGAGAGACCACCCCAATACCAGTCATGGTGTCACTGAACCCAGTGCCTCCCTGGAGGCAAGGGTGTAGTTGGGGGACATGCTCAGGCCACACCAGGCACTTGCAGGTCCCAGGCAGGGGCCAAGGCTGGGTGTGTGGGGTCTCCTCGCCACTTTAACTACCCAGGACTCAGCTCTGCCTCTGGGAAGGAACAGGCCTTCCCCAGGTATAGGGGTGGGTGTGACTTCCAGCCCCCACGGGAGTGAAATTCTACCCTCCTGCATGGGGTAGATGAATGTGTTGGGTGAAGTGTCCCTAGACTGGGCGGATCCCTATGCAGGGACCACAGGCTCCCTGTTCCCGGCATGGCCACTAGGGGACAACCTCCAGACAAGATGAACCACAGACTGCTCCTTTCCCAGGGTAGCAGGAAGCCAGATAGGCTTTGGGAGGGGCTGGCACCAGGGGGCTCAGGAACTGGGCCTGGCAGGTACAGGAAGGCAATTTTGGACTGGGCAGAAAGACAAGGGTAGCTCTGGCCTGCTGGTGGGAAGGGGGTTTGAAGCTGGAAAAGGCCCAGGACCAACTCTCCAGAGGTTCCTGATCAGTTAAGCATGTCCCAGGGCCCCTTGAAGGGCTGGAGAGGGCCTGAGGATCTTCATGTTGGATGGAACCCCCATGGGTTCTGATCTGGCAGGTCTCCCACCAAGCTGCAGCGAGGACCACTGACCTCATTCTTCAAAAGAAGGCAGTTTATAGGCTGGACAGGAGAAGGGACTGACCCAGACGGGCCAGGGAACCACAAAGCCAAAAGCAGAACTGAAGGCCTTCAGCTAGGAGGGGCAGCCAGAACAGAGCTCTGTGGAGCCAGAGGTAGGTGAGATGGTTGTGAGACCCCCCCCCCCCAGCTTGGAAGCCTCAGGCAGTGGAGGCAGGGGGTAGCTGGAGGCAGAGATCACCCATATCCCTGGGGCCCCACCCTTCTCCCTCCATTGAAGCCCATCCACAGCAACAGGGAAGGAAGAAGAGGGTGGGGATCTATTCCCCCCACCAGAGCCCTCTCCCTCTGGTGTCCAGGGCAAGTCAGTGTACCTTAGACTTCCATATAGGCAGGGGAAGCCCAAACAGGAGGTCAAGTGCAGTGAAGGAGATTGCAGGAAGGGGCCCAGGCTCCCTGCTCTGGTGGCCCTGCAGATCAACCCTCGCACACTGGCCTCAGTCCTTGTCCTACAGGAGGGCCCTTGGGAGCTCCACTGCAGGTGGAGGGACACGCCCATCCTGGGCACCCCTCTGCATCACTAGCTGCTTCATTAGCCTCACCGACCTGTTTTCCCCCAGGGAGTAGGGTCCAGTCTGTGCCAATGCAGCATTGCCCCAGTCCCTGTGCCAGGGTCTGGCCAGGTGCCCTGGGTGTGGCAGGCTGCATTGCTGACCCAGAGCCTGAAGGACAACCCCTGCTGCTCCACCCTGCCCTCCAAGATGCTGAGACACCCAGCCCCAGGCCCAGGGCAGGAACAGAAAGACAAAGAGCACCAGGTACTCATTTTGCAGCAGAGGATTGAGGAAGGGGTCACCCCTGTAGGCAGTACCCACACTCTTTTGCCCAACACAGAGGGACCCTGTGGTTTGATCTCTGGCCCCACTAGACCCCTTCCCAAGCCTCAGGTCTAGCCCTGCCACAGTCACCACCTCACTGATGATCCAAACACGCAGTAGCCACGCTGTGGACCCTGCCGAGGCCAGCCTGGCAGCTCTGGATCAAGGCCAAGAGCCCTGACTCCTGGTCCCACCAGCTGCTTCCCCCAAAGCAGGTCAGAGGGCAGGCCTGGTTCCCAGAGTTCTCAGTCCATGTCAACATGCGGCCATGCTCTGCCCAAAGTCGCCTCTCTGAATAAGACAAGAGTTCCCGAGAGTGATGATAAAGGAACGAAGACGGAGAGGAAGAAGCAGACAGGAGCAGCGAGCCAAGAGACAGGAGCAGGGAGACAGTGATGGAGACCCGAGAGAGACGTGAGCGGAGGGTCGAGATGGAGACCGGAGAGGGAAGTGGGAAGCCGGGAGACAGGGGCAGGTAAAAGGCTGAGACCCGAGCGCGCGAGACCCGCGGGCCCTCCCTGAGGCGCCCGCCCGCCCGCCCGCCCGCGGCAGCCCAGCCGGCGCTGCTCGCCCCCAACGCGCCCGCGGAGCCCACCCGCCGGAGGGGAGCGGGCTGCAGGCGGGAAGGAGGCGCACCGCTGCCTGGGGCTCCGGGCCAGGTGGGCAGCACCACGTGGAAGCAGTCGCACATCGCCGCGGCCGGGAGGTGCGGGCCAGCGGCGGCCCGGCGTGTCCAGTTGCCGTCCCTGCTCCAGCGCGCGAGCGGGCAGGCGGGCGCCGCGCTCGGCCTCGCAGCTTTGCGCTGCTGCGGGCGGCCAGCCTCGGACTGCGGACACTGCTCGCGCCTTGCGACCACCGCGCTGGACCCGCCCGGGCCCGCCCCGTTCGCGCCGGCCACTGCGCAGCGAGCGCTTGGGCGGTGCCGCTGGCCTCATTCAGCCCATTGGCTGCGCCGCCCTGGCCCCGCCCCGCTCTAGGCCCGCCCCCGGCCCCTGAGACTGGCCCCGCCTCGCGCCCCCAGTCAGCCTTTCTGGGCCCGCAGAACTGGCTGGAGACCCTCCGCCTGCCCGCACTGGGGCTCTGGCACTTGATGCCAGTTGTCACCTCCAACCTGGGGAACAGTAGGGGAGCGGGAGCACGGCCTGTGATCTGGGCTGATCAGGACAAGATGGAATTCTCCAAGAGAGGAAGGAGGGAGGCGGGCCGCAAGAACAAAGACTGGGCTAGACGGTCCAGGAAGGACAGGGTGGCCTGGGCAGGACTGCAGTGGACTGTGCAATTCCGAGTGCCCGTGCTGGGGGCTGTCCTGGAGTCCAGGACCACCCCCAGAATTCATCCTTCCCCAGGTTCCTGTCAAGAGCCTGGAGGCTGGGACACAGGGGTGACAAGCGTCCCACTTGGCCCTAACCTGGGACTCAGGGCTGGTGAGGGCATAGCCAAGCCTGTAAAGTTGAGGTGCTCTGCAGGGCAGTGCTGGGTGGTAGTGGGCTGCGGATGGGAAGGGCTCCTGGCAGACACCTAAGCTGGGGCAACCTTGGGGGTGAGCTGTGAGCCAGCCGCAGGGCAGAAAGTATTCCCAGTAGGGCAGACGGATAGTGTAGGTGAAGAGGGTGGGGGCGGGAGGTGGGACCTGAAGGTTAGACCTGCTGAGGCTGGGACAGGGTAGAGGGTGGCTCTGCAGAGGGGGCTCCAAGCAGTCCCTGTGTCTGCAAAGGTCAGTGGGAGCTGAGGAAAGGCCACCCTGGTGGCTGGGATGGGGGCAAAGCTGTAAGTCAGGAGTAGATGGACTAGGGCAGTGAGGTGGGGACAGAGTGAGGGGGACCTTGATATATTGCAGAGGCTGGCAGAAGGGACCTGGTGAGGCCTGGAGTAGGGCAAGTTGGGAAGCTTGCTTGGCTCCCCATAGGCACCATGCATAGGGGATGGGCATGGAGGGCAGGGCCCAACAGTTCTTTCAGCAGAGAGATTACTGAGACCTGGCTTGGCATAGACTTGAGGACACCTTGGGCCAGAAGCAGAATCCTGACACTAAGCCCTCCCATGTGCCACCCTGGAGGCACTGCAGGCAGGTACAACCCAGACAGGACAGCTATTACCAAGAAAAAACATTCCTGGCAATGTGCTGGTCATGCTGGACGCGCACACACACACACTCACACACACCTATTCTTGGGGCTGGAAGCTGGTGCAGGGGGCAGCCTGGGGGGCAGTGAAGGCTGAGAAGCTCCAAGGGGCCAGGCTGCAACAGAAGGACCACATAGACACAGCTGTGAGCAAGATCATACACACACCAGTACACAGACCACAGGCCACCTTGGATACATCCCAGTCCAGCAGACATTCACACGTACCCAGACACACTCATGTGCACACACTAAGGCGCACACACACTTATATGCACAACAATGCAGACACCTGCACATTCACACACAGATGCACACGGTCTCAGACTCACATGGGGACCGTGCTCAACCAGTAGGGCCCAGGTGAGCCAGCTGATGGGATGACTCACTCTGGCAGTTCCCGTTAGCCAGACTGCAGCTGCCAGGCAGGCTGCCAGTAGCAGGTCAGATGGACACTGGAGTCACTGCTGGGAAAGGGCCCTGGCAGCCTCCTCCAGTGGCACAATGGGGCATAGATAGCCCTGTCTTTCAGGCAGGGGCACAGGGTCTCACCCCTTCCTCTGGGGAACCGCCCTGGGTTCAGGAAGAGAGAACCGTCATGTGCCTGGGTATTCGTGTCCCTGTGTCTGCCCAGCCTGCTGTTCCACTGTGTCTGAATCTGGCTTCTGGGTCCCTGGACAGGTCCTGGGAACAAGGGCCAGTCTGTGGAATCAAGGGCCTTATGGAAAAGGCCCAACTGTGACCCCTACCCCATTAGGTGTATGCTGTTAGGGAAGCCATGTGGTCCACTGGGCTCTGCCCAGATCAAGTGGACTCACTCCATGTGACACATCCTGATCATCCGGTGTGATCACCACAGGGCTGTAGTGGCTCCTGTCCACTTCGTGGAGGAGAGGAGGCAGGGGTGGCCTCCTGGTGTGACCCTGGGCTCACCTAATGCTCCCCCTACCTGTATTCCCCTTCAGCAAAGCAGGACAGCCCTCAAGACTGAATTGGTGGGACCAAGCCTTTCCATGTGCCACCCTGAGAGTGGGAGAGCATCACACCCAGAGGGCCATGCCCCGGCCCCACCCCCACTTTGGGTCAACAAAGATCCCCTGAGCTGTGTCCACTGGTCCTGTCCCTCCTGGCACAGAGATAGTCCCAGATCCTGGCCAGGGCTTCGGTAAAGCTCAAGATATGCTCACTGTCCTGCAGGAGTCCTGCTCATCTGCAGCCCTGGGTTGCCTCTGGCTGGCTTAGAGCCCTGGACTCCAGACCGAGGGTGGCTTGAGCCCTGTCCCCAGGGCTGCCTCCCCCAGCAGGTGGAGTCTGGCTCTGCTCTGCCCCCAGTGCTGGGGCTGCCTTTTGGCTGTCAAGAGGGAGCTGAGCGCCCTAACCCAGGCCTGCCTGCCGTTGCCCTCCTGGGAGCCCCTTCATAGGTCTTAGGCCAGTGTCTTGAGGAATAGACAACTTGATGTGTCAGCCCAGAGAGCTTCCCCACCTCAGGGGCCAGACTCATCCCCAAGTGTCCCTGTGGAACTGTGGGCTCTGTCTCCCTGAGGCTGTCTCTAAGAGGGCCTACCCACAGATGGGGCCAGTCACAAGCTGGACCTTGATACCCAGGGCCAGGTCTCAGAAGCCCAGCCTGGACCCTGGGATCACAGCAAGCAGAAGCCGGGACAACGTGCGTCTTGCCCCATCCCCATCCCTCCCACCAGCTGAAGCCTGACCTTCATCCACTGCAGAGCCCTGCACTGCCAGGACTTCCTGTTATCACACACACAAGTGCCCCTCGGGGGACATGTGCCAGCTGGGGAAGGCCACTGCAGCAGGGCTCAGCTCCAGAATCAGTGCCCCTCACCCCCCAGCATCATGAGGACACAAGGCCAGTTCAGAACTCGCCCTGCTCTCTCTCCTTCCCAGGTGGGGCCTGGGCCAGGAGCTGGCCATGTCACCCTGCCCCCCACTGGATGCTCCCCTGCTCTCCTGCGTATCTCCAGGCAGGCCGGGATGCCCAGAGCATCAATGATTGATGCCTCCTTGCAGTAACTGCAGCAGCATAACCAAAATAGCTCTGCCTTGTCCCTGCTCCTCCGCCCAGCCCAGCCCAGCCCAGCCCAGCCAGAGGGAGTGGGGGCATCTAGGACTCCTCAGCTACCCTAGCCCCCTTCGTCCTTTGCAGAGATGTTGGGGATGGTTCCAGGCCTGCTGGCCCAGGGTCTGATGACGTTGGCCATGAGCAGGTGGCACATGGCCCACACAACCACAGCAGCCCTGTCTCTAATTGTCTCAGTCTCCCCCAAAGCTAAGAGCCTGACTCAGGGCTGAGCATGGGGTCCCTTCCTCTGTGCCTGTACAGCTCAGCACATGCCTAGGACCAGGACACAGGGTCACAGCAAGTTCCAGGGCTGGTCCTTCTACCCAGGGACCACAGGCTGACACAGGCAGGGATGGACATCTCCCTGGAGTCTAGGCATCCTGGAGGAGCAGGACACCTGGGTATCTCTGGGGCAAGGGACCCCTGCTCAGCCAATTCTTTCTATTGGTGATGCCAGGATCCACCAGGGTGACTACGGACTCCAGGCAGAGTGGCGCCTGCTCCAGGTGCCCCAGGGCCCAGGGTGGCCCTTCCTCCTGAGGATGGAATAGGGGAGGTTTGGCTCTAAGTAGGGCTGGGGTTTGGGGATAGACACAAATAGAGGGAGAGGAGGCTGGGAGACCAGCCTGGTCTCCTCCTGGGGAAGTCATGGCCTCCTGACTTTAGCGAGGAATCACTCCTCTTGGGCCACTGTCCTCCGCACATGGAGCCAATTAAATCTGAGCAGCTACCTGATCTGCCCATGCACCTGGAGGTCCTGCCCAGGCTCATGCCCCCTGCTGTGAAGCAGGAAATTCCACCCAGATGCTGGCCCAAGTGGCAGAGGCCACCTAGCAGCTACCGGGGCCGCCCCACCTCTTCTGCAGCCAGGGCTGGTCACCCAATGTCAGGGTCACCTTGGCCCTTCCTCAAGACAGCATTTCTTCAGTGTGGTCACTAGGGGTCATCCAGGTATAATGGTTCCAAATGTCTGCTGCGGCAAAATGCCACACCTGGCCTGGGTTAGAAAGAGCACAAGCTCATCCTCCCTCCCAGTGCTGGTGGCAAGGCTGTGTTCCTTCTGGAGGCTGCAGGGGAGTTCAGCCTCCTGGTCCTTTGGACCTCCTGCTGCCTGCATTCAGGGGCTTGTGGTCCTGCGTGGCTGGTGGTCTTGCTTGTTCGGCCTCTGCTTGCACCTTTGTATCTTCTCTGTCTAGCCCTGACCTATCTCCCAGTCTTTCTCCTCCCTTCCTCCCTTCCTCCCTCTCCCCCCTCTCTCTTTCTTTCTTTCCTTTTCAGTGCTAGGGATTGAACCCAGGGCCACTTTACAACTGAGCTGTGTCTCCAGCCCTTCACTTATTTATTTCTGCAGTACTGGGAATGGAACCCAAGGGTGCTCTACCACTGAGCTACACCTCCAGCCCTTTTTTTTTTTTTTTTCTTTTGAGACAGAGCCTTGCTAAGTTGCCGAGGCTGTCCTTGAACTTGTGATCCTCTTGCTTCTGCCTTCCGATGCACCACCACACCTTCCATCTCTTTTCTCCTTATGAGGACCCCATGATTATGCGGGTCTCAACCACATAATTTAGGACTACCTCCTCATCTCGAAAGCCTTGCTTCAATCACTTATGTGAGGTCCCTTCCACTTCAGAAGACCCAGCTTGCCAGGGATTAGGAAATACTGAGTGATGTTCCCCAAAACATCATTCATTTGCCATTTCAAGAAGTGCAGGTGGCCCCCACCTGAGCCCATGGTCAGGTACTGCTGGAACCTGCCATTGTTTGGTGCCTGAGTGGTTTCCTCTATTACCACCTGAAGGCCATTACGTTTCCCACATGAAAGCTGAGGCCCAGAGGACTTGGAAGCTGCTGGAAAAGTGTTCCAGACCCACTCCCCTTCTCACTCAGGCATCTGGGCCCAGACCTCAGCCCCTAAGAGGACAGCATTCTCATCTCCTTTCCAATTCTGGACTTCAAGGTGGCAAGCCCAGTGGGAAAGGGGAGTTGGACAGACAGCAGGACTGCTGACTGAGGCTATCCCGGGTGAAAATGAGACAAGTGGAGCCACTGTCTGCAAGCCCAGCAGACAGTGGTCAGTGTCTGACCCCCCATCCTGAAGGGCCACCATGGGTGCTAGGGCGATGCTGCAGAGACCTAGTCCCGAGCAGTCAGACTGCAAGGCTTCCTGAGCATTGCCAGGCTGCTCTGCCTCTCAGGAAGTGTGTGGGGTGGTGGTGTCAGGAGGCTGTGGTCCAGGGTGCAGAGAATGATCTCATCTTGTCATTTTTAAAATCAAAATTTTCAGTAGCGTGGCTGAGGACAGGGAGAGGCTGGATAAGTCATGCAAGGACAGACCTCTGCAGGGCTCAAGAAGGCTGCGGGAGGTGGGGTGAGCATGGAGGTGGCCCTCCCCTTCCCAGAGGAGGCCAACATGGCTGCCAGTATGGCTGCCAGTCTGGGGGTGCTGCAGGGGACATGGAGTGAAGCACAAGTTGACTTCATGAGCCTAGGGGTGTGGGCAGGGGATGTGGACAGATGGGAAAAGACCAGGAATGCCTAGGGAGGCAGTTGGCAGAGGGCAAAACTCACTCATTAGTGCCCTTACGCTGGGGCAGGTGGCAGCAGGAGGGGGTGACTGTCCCCCCACCCCAACTAGTCCTACTCTGGGAACTGGCTCGTGACAGACAGGGGGGATCGTGCCCCTCCTCTAGCTCTGCAGGCAGTGGACCCTCATTCTCCTACAACCTCGAGCCATTTAGGGATAGGTTCTGGGAAGACAGACTTGGTCCCTGGTCCTTAGGGAGCCTCCAGTTCGGTAGAAAAATCCTTCCCCAGAAGCACAATCGCCCCTACAGCGTCTACGCAGCAGGATGAGGGGACCAAGACCAGAAAGTGCGACCCAGGGCCAGCGGCAGCCCGCGTTTGCTTATTCTGGTGTGTGCGCTCCATGTGGGCATGCACCGGGGTGCACAAAGGCACGCGGGGCGCGCGATCACCAAGCGAGAACCTCTCCCGCGGGCTGGCACGTAGGACCCGGCCAGGCCGCGCCACCGCTCTTGGGGTCACCGCAGGTGCAGCGCGCGGGGCGAGCAAGGGGTGGGGCCGGGCGGGCAGACCACGCCCACGGCAGCGTGCTGACGCCACGGCGGCGGGCACCGGAAGCGGACCGACGCGCGCCGTTGCCGGGCAACACTGGCGCGGCCGGAGGGGATGCGGGCAGCCGCCACAGAGAAGTGCGTGGGGCTGCCCTTCGCCCTCCCGCCAGGGACGCGCTCCGGGGCTCTAGAGCGCCGCGCCATTTCTTCCCTTTTGGGCCTGGCGCTAGAGCCCGGGAGCCCGCCTTGTCGTTGGGGTCCCCAAGACGCGCTCCAGACTGCGGCGGTCCTGTCCGTGGGCTTACGGGTCCGGCACTTTGGTTGGCCGCGGGACACGCCCCTGTGCTGGACTGATCAAGAGCGGCCAGGCGGCGTCGGCCCACAGCAGCACGTGGGCACTCTCCCGGAAGCCACGCCGGCCCCGACAGCGTGGCTCGCGGCGCCCCAGGCCCTGTCTAGCGCAGCCCTGGGCAGCTTCAGCCCAGCAACTGTATGCCTCGTGCGCAGCTCCTCATCTGGTCTGCTGGCCTGGCCGCACGAAGATGCAAGACCGGCAGAAGTGGTGGGGAGAGTCCGTGAGTGACTTCACAGGGGAACGGGCGGAGGTTTCCCGCTGCTACACAGCTGAAGGACAGAGTGGTGACAATTTGGAACGGATAAGGATCTACAGTGAGGGTCCTCTGTCTGTGCCAGGTGGGAAAGCCAGCAGCTCCCCAACGGGAGAGGGCCTTCCAACTTGCACCACTAGTTGTTCCGATGCTGGGGAGCTCAGCAGCACGTGGGGGGAGTTTGAAGGCTTTAGAGAATCTTCAGCCAAGTCTGGACTCCCTCAGTCCCTTGAACTCCTGGAGAGACCCACCGATCCTCAGCCACTAGAAACTCCTGCCTTAAAGGAAGGTGGTTCTCACCTGCCACACCAGGGTGGATCCGGGGCAACAGGAATCACTTCCCACCCATCTTCAGAGGTATTTCTGTGGTCTTTGTCACCAGACGGAGTGAGAAATGCCCTAAGACCTCTCAAAGGCATCAGGCACTGGGTTGGGGGGCTACCAGCCTTTGAGGGGCCTCTTCTCTCTGGCCTCCATCCCTTGTCATAGGGTTGGCTGTCCTGTCCTCACAAGGCCAGAGAAGGAACCAGTTGACAGCAGAGCCTGCAGAAATGGATTGGGCAAGACCAGGTGGGGGCAACCCAAGCTGGGCCACTTTCCATGACCACTTCCCATCAGCAGAGGTGGCACTTGTGTGGCCTCATTCAGAGCCTATGGGGAAGAAGCTCTACTGGTTTATAAAGTCCCAAGTCCTAAAGTCACACAATCCCAGATAGCTTTGTGCAAGGCCCTGGAACTGGAGCTGGCCAGCTGAGCCCCAGCCCCTCATCCTGTCTGCTCCTCAGAACTCAGTGCCCACCCTTGCCTCCTCTGGCTCCTCTCTGCTGGTCATTCTCCTCCTTCTGTTGTTTCTCTTTGCCATCTCTTCCCAGATGGTTCACCGCACACACCAGGGAACAAAAGATAAGTTCAATAGTCAGGAGGGAAGTAAAAGGTATTGCTGGTAATCCAAACTCTCCTACACCAACGATTTCTTGGCCCTCGGTGAGACCCGCTCTTGGGACAGTCAGTTCTGCTGTAACACTTGTTTTAAAACCAGGACTCCTTTCCAATGCAATTGATGCACTAAGGAACATTTGAGCACACGGGAATTTTGCAGGAAACACTAGGCAAATGGAACACCTGCACCCCACAGAGCTGAGGCATGTTGATAGACATAAAACTTGCACCTGCACACCTCAGATAACTACCACCCCCATCCCACTTGGTGTTAGGACACTACCCAGTTCAGACTGTCCCCGACCCCTCACCTGGCTGCCTGCAAACCTCAGGGCCTTTTCAAGGTGAGGCTGTATCCATTGTATGTGTGAACTTCTCAGCCAGCTCACATGAAAAATTGTGCCAGTGTTTGAAAGGCCACCTTTTCCCTGCATCTCCGATGAGAGAGCTCTGAGTTGTGCTCTCACCCACCTCCTGTGAGCTCTGTGATTTTCACTGTGATTTTATAGAGAACAGAGGTTTTAGGAGAGGCTGTGTCCAGTGATGGTGGCACTGACTGCACAGTTGAGCTCAGGTTTCTTTTGTATCAAAATTAATTACTCAGAATATGGTGACCTAAATGCCTGTATTTCTCCTGATTCTGGAATGTTCTTTCTTTCCAGCCTGTTCTCAGGTACGAGAACATATTTAGGTTTGCTTTTCAAGAAGTCACAGTTGAGCAGGCAACTGAAGATGTTTCCACCTTAGACCATTTCTTGGACATAAGCAGTGAAGAAGACCCTGGCCTTGCATCTGCACATAGACTGTGGTAATGAACACCAACAGAGCTAAGAACCCCATGGCAGCGCTGTACCTGCACGGTTGTTTGATAACGTGGCTGCACAAAGTTCTGTGCGTGCCTCCTGGAGAGCATCACTGCCCCTGTAGCCTCCTGTGGGCTACAGTGTCCTATGGGGAGCTGGCAGCACAGCTGGAGGCTCCAGCAGTGCTGACCTTGCACACCTGGAGCAAGCTGGCCCAGGTGCCAGCCCTCTTGTGTCTCAGCACGAGTGCAGGAGAGGATGGGAGGGATGGTGGGCCCCAGAGCAGCCCTGGTGTACTTGGTTGAGCCTCAGCCACAGAGCTGTAGAAAACACCCCCAAGCTGTCCACTAACCCACGGGTGGCCATGTGCTTCCAGTACTGCCTGCAGGGCTGCAGGCTCCCAGAGAGATCAGGTGCACTTGGCAGTGGGTGCCGACAGTGGCTTTGAAAGGGTATGCTTCCAGCACCTGTTGACAGAAGCAGGCTCCAGGGTGAGACAGTGAAGGGCTGAGATGCTCCAGATAAGTTGGCCTAAGACCCCAGGAGGGGAGAGAATGAGATGAGCAGGCTTCTTTGCCCCTCAGTAATGTGGGGAAGGCCAGGTCAGCAAGCCATCGGGGTCTGTGCATGTCTGGACAGGCCTGGCTTTATTACAGCTCTGCAGGCCATTTAGAGCTCTGGCTTGACCCATCATGGCCACATGCTGTGCAGTAACCCAGCACCTTCCCAGTGTGCCTGCTACAGAGGTCTGGGGAGGGACACCTGGAGCCCGAAAGGCTGTGGCCTCCACTGTCCACATGCCTGGCTCCCTGTGTGTGCTGCTCCTGCCTGGCACAGCCCCAGAGACAGCCTGCCTCAAGAGTGGCCCCTCAGGCCATAGGGTTGTGGGGTGGCACTGGCAGACCATTCCCTAGAGGCACAGTGGTTCTAGAGTCAGTCTTGGCAGGGCTGACACTCAGGAGAGGGTGGTGAATGTTGTTGGGCTGGAGAAGAACCCTGTTTGCATGTTCCGAGACATTGGCATGTTTGGGAAATGATTTAGGCATTTAACATGTCCCATCTGCTCCCGTGTTGTCGGATACCTACCATGTCCTCACTAGGGCAAAAGCTTCTGACCAGCAGGCCCCTCTGCCCCAGTGCCTGGTGGTGATGGTGACCATACCCTGTTTGTTTCTTCATCCATTCTTGGGAGCCCTCAGTGTTTTCCTAGTTTGTGAACATGGGTTTTGTGGCCAGCACAGCTGTAATAGTGAACCAGACAGCAAACATCTGGCCTTGAAGATACTCCCTGATGAGAACAGGCCTCCTGTGCTGGGACGCACTGTGGAAAGAAGAGGCAGGGCAGCATCAGGAACACTGACCGCAGGGGTGTGTGTCTGAGTGAAGGAGGTGGCCAGGGCCCCTGAAGGGGCGCCATCTAGTGTCACCTGTGCCAGGTGCTCCTCTGCTTGTGAGACTGGGCTTCCTGACCTGCTCAGAAGGCTTTCAAGTTCATCTTTAGTGACTTCCTCTATTTTCCAGTTCTGAATCTAGAAAAGTCTGGCGAGCCCTTCAGAACACCAGCACCATGTCTGTTTCACGATGCCTCTGGAGCCAGTCTCACTGCCAGGAGAAGCTCTTCCTGGTTCTTGGCATAGAAGCTGCTCAGAAGGTGACGTGGTTCAGGGGGTGGAAACGTCACTGGGCCCAGGACAGGGAGGGTGGTGGAGAAAATGACACCGGAAGGCCAACTGACTACTTAGAAGGCCACTGGTGGTGAGGGGTGTGGGAGTGGGAGTGGCTGTTGTGGGCAGCACCTGGACACTGGTGCGGGGTCCTGCAGGAGTGGGTGCAGATGTGGAGACAGGGTGCACATGGACTTGGTGGGGAGAGGAGGAAGGTGCCATGTGTGGAGGTGGAATACCGTGAAGTTCAGAGCATGGGCGGGAGCACTCTGCAGGGCACTGCAAGCCACCAAGGTGTGCTTGCACCTCAGGTGTTGCAGGAGGTGCTGGGGTTAGGCCAGGGCCTGCTGAGGGGGACGAGGGCAAGTTCCAGTATGGGCACAGGCATGAGGCTGAGAGGGAGAGGCCCTTGGTGTGTGGAGGATGGCCAGTGTGCACCATGATGGGCAGAGAGAGTTTCATAGACAGGAGCTGCTGCTGCATGAGGCAGGAGCAGCCCAGAGCCAGCCAAGCCCAGGGTACACACATCAGGCCTGTGTGATCAAGAAACAGTAACAGGGCCACCTTTCAGCAGTCAATATAGAACAGATCTTTTTCCACTCTTGAGTATTTTTAAAATGTTTTTTAGTTGTAGATGGACATAATATACCTTTATTCATTTATTTTTATGTGGTTCTGAGGGTGGAACCCAGTGCCTCACACGTGCTAGGCAAGCGCTCCACCACTGAGCCCCAGCCGCAGCCCTCCATTCTTAGGTGGAAACTTTTAAAATGGAACTCAAAAAGGAGCTGACAAGGCGGGCCTCATAGCCCCAATGAAGATAGTCATGTGGACGATGGCCATGTCTCCAGTGTGCCATGCTGACTGGTCAGGAGGCCTCGTGGTGGGGAAACCACTGGGGAAACAGAACCAGGGGGTTCTGGAGGGGAGGCTCAGGCAGGACAGCTACCACAGTGGCAGGCTGTGGGTGCTCATCCTTCAGGTGGCCGTGAGGGTGTTTCTGTTGAACACTGTCGTACTCCATTTTCTATTTATAACAAAATGCCTGGTAATTGTAAAGCATAGAAATTTGTTTGGCTCATGGTTCTGGAGTATGGAAGCCCAGGAGAGCATGGTGCTGGCATGGTGAGGGCCTTGTTTGCTGCACCTTAACATGGTGCCAGCCATCACAAGGCAACAGAGCAGTCACGCCAGCTCAGTTCTCTTCTTATAAAGCCATTAGTGCCGCTAGGAGGACCCCACCTCATGGCCTCCTTCTACCCTGATCACCCCAAGTGCCATCAACACTGTGAATTTGGGGTTGTGTGTTCAGTACAGAAGTTCTGGGGGACACACTGGAACCACAGCAGGCAGGTCTGGCTGCCCCTGAACCAGGTGATAGACAGCAGGTGGCAGCACTGAGCAGGGAGGGCCCTGGCCTGACCCTCCCAGGGGCTATGCATGTCCAGAATTAAGGTAGAGGGGCTCCGGTTAAAACGGAAGGTGAGAGGAAACAGTGACCCTGTCAGCTGTGTGACATAGAGGTTTGTCTCCTCAGAGTCCTTCCAGAGACCAGGGTCACATTTCAGAAGGTCCTGACCTCAAAGGTCCTGAAGAGCTGCTGGCACTCAGCACCTTCGACCTGCCCCACTGCAAAGCCCTGATCCAGACGAAGGTGAGCACCCCACAGAAGAGGCCTCAGGAGGCAAGGCTGGGTCTGCACACAGCTCCCTGTGTCCTCACAGAGCCTGGCTTCTGTTCTTCTTCGATGCCTAGGCACTTAGAATGCGCGGGTAGGAAGGCTGCACTGCAGGCAGGGTAGCCCTGGGTCTCCCGCCTGGGCAGGGGTGGGCGCCTGAAGTCAGCCAAGCAGCTTTCCTCGGGAGACCTGCTGCCACCCTCATAGTGGGACTCGAGGCAGGAAGAAGTGCAGGTGGAAGATTGTGTTCTAGAAGCCCTCTCTTTCATCTGGGTCGGCGTCTCATGCCCAGCTTAGATCAGGTTACAGGAGGGGCAGGTGGCCAGGCCCAGCCACAGGGCTCTGTGTGTGAGTGGGAGGTGGGAGAGCGTGGCACTGGGCAGTGTGTGTTACAGATCTGCTAGGGGAGGGCCAGCAGTGAGGCACAGCTCTCTGTGGGAGGACACTGCAGCCACGTGCCGAGGGAGTCTGGGGCAGGTGTGGTGCCACCCAGCCGATGCCAGCTGCAGCCTTGATGGTTGGCACATGGTGCCAGGTGTGCAGGCACCCAGGAAGGCCTTTGCATGAACACACACAGGTCTGTCACAGGCCCTAGAGGACTCTGGGTCCCTCTGTTCTTTGGAAGAAGCCTCGAGGTAGACACTACTTGTCTTTGAGCACAACAGGTTACCTGTCTGTAGCTGTGTCATTTACAGTAGCCAGCACTCGAGGAGGTCCAGCAGCTGCGATGTGGGAACTCCAAGGCCGGGAGCATGGAAAGCAGGGGGACCAGACCCAGGATAAGGGCCAGGAACCTACTTAGGAAACAGACTGGCCCTTCTGGCACCGTGGCACACACCTGCAATCCCAACACTTGGGACACTGAAATAGGAGGATTCCAAGTTCAAGGCCAGCCTTGGCAATTTAATGAGACCCTGTCTCAAAATAAAAAGGGCTGGGAGTGTTGCTCAGTGGTAGAAGTCAGGTGGCAGTGGCTGGCTGCAGTGGGGTGAAGGTCAGGGACAGGTGGGCCACTAGTGGCCTTGGTCCCAGTACACCAGCCCCGTGAGCTTCTCTGGTTGCATTGCACAATGAAGTTTTTAGGATCATGGTGACCAAGGAGAGATTGTTGAGGGGCCAGAGGTGGGCAGGGCAGATGCCAACCTGGCACCTCTAGTCACCTGCACTTGTATTTGACTGCTGGCCTCCTCTCAGCTCTCAGGGACACCTGGCAGCAGACAGGGGAGCCTGATTACCTACAGCCTCTTTCTGAAGACACCCCTGCATGGAAACGGGCGGCACATCACAAGTCCACAGGAAAAGAAGGTTTTCCCTCCACGTCACCTAAAGCTGGCGCTTCTTAACAGGGATGTGTGCTAGAAACAGGAGTCTGTCATGTAGGCATTTCACATCGTCTCACTGGCTGGGCTTGGTTCTGTTTTGTAGAGCCGTTTCCCAAACCCACATCAGTTTCCTAGGATCTTTCAAAACCCCTGCCTCAGATCTGATCAGGAAGGGGTGTCTTGGGCAGAGCCAGTCCCCAAGCAGAGGGGAGGGGTTTCTGGATGCACTGCAGCCTGCCCAGCAGATGCCACCTGCTCCTGGTGGAGGATGTCAGGGATGATCCCAGACCTGGCCCAAAGTGGGGAATGTACTGAAATACCACCAAGGAGACAGCTGCACTTTGAGAAACAGCATTGGCACCTGGTCCCAGGAGGTCCTGGGCTTCTGTGTTGTTCCTGGAAGTGCCATGAGCACTCCCCACCGCATTCACACTGGTGGCCTTGGGGACAGGCCTTTCTGATGGCTGGGAGGCCACACTGGGCCAGCCCTGGAGGCCCAGGTGGGTAGGCAAGTGTATTTCACTGGTCATCTCCTGCATCAACGGTTTTCTTCCAGGAAAGGGCCAAGCGGGCAGCACTGACTTTGTAGAGCTTTACTTAATAAAAGGCCTCAGTAAGCCTGTGCTCTTGCTGACTCGTTGACTCTGCAAGGACTGATGACAACATTCTGTCCCGAAGGGGAGACCTAAGGCTGGAGGGGCTACAGAGGCCATGCTGGGGACTGGCACTCCAGGTAGAGCCCCTGCTGTCTCTGTACCAAGGCCACTCTAGGACCAATTTGCTCAGGAGGTGCCAGCTTCCCTTCACCTGACCCACTGATGCAGGTGCAGGTGACAGCTGCTGTGCCCGCCAGGAGGAAGGAAGCTGGCTGTCCCTGGTCACCCCAGGTGGCTGTGCATCAATACCATGTGGCCCACAACCAAGGGGTGGCTCAGATCATTTCCCTGGCACCAGATGTCAGAAAAGCTGCTCTGACCTCTCGCCCTTAACCAGAGGACGTGTGGACCAGCACACAGAAAGGAAAAGGCAGTTTCTGCGCAGCAGAGGCGGGCGGCAGGGAGAGTGCAGACCTTGCAGGGGCAGTGTCACCAATTACAGGTGGACAAAGGGACTGGAGGGACACTTCTCAGAACACACACACAAATGGCCCAAAGGATCAGTCCCGCTCAGAGAAGTGCGGGTGGGACACCGAGGCCTGCTGGTGAGGGCGGAAGAAAGGGTCCTGCCCGCTCGGCTGGAGCACAGTGCAGTGCAGCCTTCATGGAGAGCGGCATGGAGGTGCCCCCAAGACACGGCCTGTGTGATCCCAGCCCTGCTACTGGGCACTTACCGGGGATGGCCAGTTCCGGCTGTGGAAGGCATCTGCAGGCCCACTTCCTTGTGGCCTGCTCCCCAATAGAGGGGAGGAATGGGCCGCATGGCCCCCACAAACAAGTGGTAAAGGCAGGTGGTACACATGCATGAGGGAGTACTGTCATCCACCAGCCAGGTGGAGCCTGCCACCTGGGGTAGCCCTGGGCACGCCATTGGGTGACACACCCCAGGCACAGGTGGACCAGAGAAGCCACCCTCACAGGAGCCAAGGGCATGCGGCTACAGGGGCAAGGGTGCCATCTCCCACCGGATGAGCCCTCGAGAGACCCACCGCACAAGCAGTTACATTCTTGGATTGTGTTTCCACTACAAAGCAGGATGACTCTTGAGGTGACACACTACTAACGGGCCTGAGCCACCCATCATGCAGAAAACAGCACATACCTTGTAGATTCGAATTTTCCCACTTAAAGATTAACTGGAAGAACCAGTAAAGAACAGGGACACACGGCATGGGGATATGCCGAGTCCTGGGCTATCTGCCTACAGCGGCAGCACATTGGCCCACGAGGGGGCTGTGAGGCAAGGAGGGCCACACCCTGCTTGTGTGACCAGTGTTTCCAATAAACCATCACCCAGGGGGTGCGATTCGGGTATGCTGTGAACTCCACTGCATGGAACCTGTTCGCTTTATAATTAATTAATTTATATATATAAAAGTCGTAGATGGACATGATACCTTTATTTATTTTTATGTGGTGCTAAGGATCGAACCCAGTGTCTCATGCTTGCTAGGCAAGCGCTGTACCACTGAGCTACAACCCCAACCCTGAAACCTGTTCTTAAAAATTGAAAAGGTAGCCTGACATCATCACATTGACTTGGGAGGCTGAGGCAGAGGATGGCCCGGGCTAGTCTCAGCAACTTAGCAAGGTCCTGACTCAAAATTTTAAAAAAGGGCAGGTGGTATAGCTCAGTGATACAGCACCCTTGGGTTCATCTCCCAGTACCAAAAACAAAAAACACAGCCCCAAATGTCCTTTTTAACTGTTTTGTTTTTGTTTTTTGTGGTACAGGGGAGTGAATTTAGGGCACAGATGTCTGAACATGAGCTAAGTATTAGAGAATATTCAGGAATTATTTCCTGATTATGGAATCGTCAATGTATAAACATGCTCTATTTTCTAAGGCTAACCGGATTTTTAAGGTGAAAATGGCCTCCTATAGCTCGGATTAGCTTAAAAATTGTTTCAGGGGGCTGGGAAAGTAGCTCAAAGGCACAGCACTTGCCTCACATGTGTGAGGCCTTGGGCAGCACTGCCAAAATAAATATATACACATTTCAGAAAAACAAAAAAGACAGCATTTACAACTGGCCAACCTGGGCAACAGGCTCAAGGGCCTGATACAGCCCCTCTGCTGCTACGTGAAGTGTGTGAAGTGTGAACAAGGGGCTTTCGGTGGGCACAGCATGCCTCAGTTACTCTGAAGTACAGCCTGTCTTCAGGGGAGTACAGGGAACTGTAGGCTGTGGCTAAGGGGGCCCCTGCCAGGTGTTGGCAGGAGCTGTGACCCTGTGGCCCTCGGGAAGAGTACAGAAAAGCCAGGTGCTTCCCTAGGAAGCTCCACCACAGGAATGTGGGGGCGGGGTAAGCAAGGGTCCTCAGACACTCAGACACCCTGGGTGCTGGGTGCCAGTGGACCCCAGCCAGTCCCCAGCCCTCACCTGACCCTTCCTCCAGCTGCACATGCCCCTCCCACACCACCCTGGACAGCTGCCCACAGCAACAGCAGGCTGGCCCAGAGGGAGAGCTCCTTCCCCGCTCATTCCTCACCAGGGGCTGGGCTTTGGGCAGTGCACCATACCCCAGCCTTGTTCACCCTGGCTGGAGAGGAGGTGACGGGCACCATATGGGCTGAGTGTGTTAGGGTACCAGGTCATGCACCTGGTACCTCCATGGGCCCATGCTCCCGCTGTGTGTCCTACTTGGTGCCTTGACCCAGTGGGGCCAGGCCAACAGCCTGAGCTGGAAGGAGAGGTGAGGGCTTGGCAGAGCCTCCCAAGAATCAAGCCTGCTCCAGTTCAGGGTACCCAGTGCCCAGGGCCATCTGCTCCCCTGGAGCCTGGGTCCTGCCTGTCCCCCAGCCTAACACAGGCAGGGTGGCAGCTTTCTTGAGCGCCAGGTGCCGAGAGCACATGAAGCCACTTATGGAGGCAGGTAGAGGGCAGGAGGCAGCAGGACACCCATGTTTCAGTCCCATCCAAGTTTCTGCCCTGAGTCCAGCTGCAGTGGCATCTTCAGCTCACTCTGGGCTTCACCTGTGGGTCCCCCACAGCCCTGCTGACTGCAGAGCAGCAAGTCAGCAGGTCCAACCAGATTCTGACTACAGGAACACGGCGTCTAGCCCCAAGGCTGCTGCAAGCTGTCATTTACACATCTCAGGGATTTTTACAAAAAAGACGAGGTGCAGCCCACAGAGGCAGCAACCCCCCTACGCAGCCGTGCTGGGGGCTGCTCTGAGCACCTCATTCTTAGGGCTTTCTCTGAGCGTTCCAGCGCCCCCCAACCCCCATCAGGTTCTCCAGTCTCTTGCTCAGGCATTGACATCATCAGCAAGAGGTGGGCCTGGCTGGTCAGCAGGTTCTGGGAACGCTGGGAAGCAAACCACTAGCCAATGGCCTGGCATCCCAGCTGGGCAGCACAAGCTCACTCGGGAGGCACGGAGGGCAGATGGAGTAGTGGGCCTTATTGCCTACTGGGCAGCACAGGATGAAGTGTATGGGCCAGAAATGGTCACCTGCAGGGGAGCAGGGCCCTCAGCAGCAGCGGGGCTCCGTGGGAATGGCCAGGCTGAACCTCATTCCATCTGCAGGCAAGTGCTCCCCACGGCTGACCCTGCGGGGCTTTGAAGTGCCTTGAGGGGCCACACTCAAGCTCACAGACACCACTCGCCTCAGCCCTGCCCTTCTTGCCTCTACTGAGAACCTGGGCAGACGTGTGGCACAGTACACTGTGGAAAATCTACTTATAGGCTCTCGTGTTCTCCTCATCCCTAGTGCACACCACGGAGTACACCCCAGCCCTCGGCCTGCGGAGTGGCTGGATTGCAGCCATGCACTGGTGCTCATACTTAAAATCAGTGCTTTACTTTTCAACCTTTAAAAACCTAATGCGCTTCCAAGGCAAAGGGGCTCCAAGGCTGAGGGTGTAAAACCCTGCAGGAGGGCTGCTTCCCAAGGCTTCCGCAGCACGCTCTGGTCTTGGGCCCCCACCTCGATACTTGTGTGTTAGAGCACGCACTCTAGCCGTACGAGAACCTGTCAACCAAGTTGAAAACCAAATACCCTGACCCCTCAGGGTAGAAGGGTCAGGGTTTGACTGGAGGCAGATCCACAAAACACTACAGAGTTTGGATAACTGGAATTTATATTTTTTATTATATAGATATTTTGTAAACAAAATTATCAAATGTTTGGAAAACTGCTTCCAGTCAATTACTTATATCTACATCTTCAAAAAACACATACACATGATGAAACAGCCAGAAATTTCTGTAAAAACAATGGATGAGCCACGGGGACTACTGCAGAAGCAGGTACCTTCCCAGGCCTAGGTCTATAAGCCCTGGGAATGGGGACTGGCTGAGGGGCTCTCCACCACCAACAACAACCACACTGCCCAGTCCCATAGGTTCTTCACCACCTGGCAGACAAGGGGAGGCAGCCGCCTGGTGTAGGAGCTGGGGCACCAGGCCTCCGTGCGCGAGGACAGCCGGTTCCCTCACTCCGTCTTACCTTTTGCCAGCCTGCCATGCCAGCAATACCTTGTCACCTCTGAAGCTGAACACATGAGATTTGCAATAGAAATGCTGCAAAAAAAGCAAACACTGCTTCAGCTATCAGCAGGCACCCTTTTGCTTCCAGGAGTAGCAGCACTCTCACCACCAGGAGGCGGCCCTCTGTGGATCCAAAGACGGCCAGCCCTGCTACGGTGACGCTGCCTGATCCCTGGACCGCAAACTGGCAGAAGCCCCGCCAAGCTTAGGAAAAGAAAAACCATCCATTGACTATTTAATGCATTCAAGTGAAGTTCTTTCCCTACCTCCACAGACAGATAGACATTACAGCTGAAACCAACGAGGAAAACAAAACAAGGATGACATGGTGAAGTTCACACCATTCCCATTTTGTGCGCTGGATATTTTTAATAAAGTGAGGTTTACATCCATCACTGTCATGTTGATACAAAAAAATATGGTCATGTGCACAAAGGAAAACCACATGCCTGTCAGGCTCAGAGATGGGAGGTCAGAAGAGGCACGAGGAAACCTGTGCATGGTAGGCAACAAGGATCTGGAGATGTGGCAGCCAGGCACAGGGCCACACCAGCTCCCTTCATTGTGTGACCCTTTGGATTGAGAGGACATGAATTACAGAGTTCTTTCATTCTAGATTTAAATTTAACCTTACAATTCTGTTCTAGCACCAATTTAATAGAGCAGGTGTAAGCATTTCTACCAACAGCACACAGGCATACGCTCTTTCCAAACACACATGTCTGGCACACAGCAGCCCATGTGTATGCTCTAAAAAGGGCACGCAGCTCTGCTACGGCCGTGCTGGGAACAGATGGGAGGCGCCCTCTGTGACCACCTCATGGAAGACACAGCTGAGACTCCAGACTCTTAAGATCAAATGGTGCCTGTGATTTCACACAAATACCCAACCTTCCCCTCCAGTGGCATTTACATATATAAATAGGGTTAAATAGAACCCTCCATTATTTTCACTAAGTCTAAAAAGACACGGCTTCAGAGCAGGTCTAGTGAAGAGGGTTCTAACTGCATGCAGTTCTCATTTTAAGCATCCTCTGTTGTAACACAGAACATGACATAAGGGTCCTGCGAACAACCAAAGTAGAAAACAGAACACTTACGCTGCTGCATCAGAGTGTGGGAAATGACCATTTAAACCTTCAAACAATGAAATACACAACTGCAATTGTTCAGGTTATACAAGTTTCTAATGTAGCAGCAAATGATGTTTATACAAAAAATAGACTTTTAAGAAAATAGCTGCAAAAATCTAAGAGTATAAAACATTTAAAAAATATATCTTAAAAGACAAAATATTGCCCCAAACGTATAAGACTGAGTTTTAAAAGTTCACCTATCTAGATTTTAATGAGGTTGGTTGAATGCAGCCTGTTGCTCGACATCTCCGCGGGAGGTGCAGCCAGCACAGGGAGGGCCTGGGGCTGTGGGATGTCACCTAGCCCAGGGCTGAGGCGCCTTCAGAGAGCTCCAGCTCCCAGCACCGGCCTCTGCTGCCGGAGCCAGAGCCATTGAGTCTGCCCCAGGACACTCTCAGAATCAACAGACTGCCCCACAGGGCCAGGACGCAGGCTGCAGTGGTGAGAACTCTGCACAGGACTGGTGCCCTGCGTTTCTACATGGGCCACAGTATATCAGGTAAGCTCTCTGGGGCATGTGGCCTTGTCCGTGGCCCACTGGGGGCCTCAGGTTTCCACTAGGATCTCCACCACATGGTCCAGTTCGGCCAGGTCGGGCTTGCAGCTGGAGCCGGGAGGTGAGGCTGCCGAGGCAAAGCCCTCAAGCCCATCACAGAGGCCTGGCTTAGTGCCACCCATCATTCCTGTCAGCACAGTGTCCAGGTCGTAGTAGGAATTGTCCACATCTGAGAACAACTCCTCCATAGCGCTGGGACTTTTGTTCTCCAGGGTCTCAAATATCTGATCTAGAGACTTCTGAAAGCTTCCTCTGTTTTCTCGAGGGTTGCCTGTATCCCAAAGGCTACTCTGAGTGTTCCTCGGCACCTGTGCTGAGCTGATTGTGGAAAGTTCAGAAACTGGACCTTGCAAGGGGTCATCTCCCAGGTCAGGAGCAGGGCACCCTGCCTCTGGCCCCCTTGCTGTGCGACACAGGATCTCCGTGGACACAAGGCGGTCGAGCGGCACCCGTTCTGCACTCTGGGGTGCTGCCCCTCGCCATGCACCATCCCGGCTCATCTCCTCCTGGATCTGCCGGACTGTGTTGGCAATGAGGACTGAGCGGCAAAGGTTGGGCTCTACCAGCATGTGGCAGAGCTGGAGCTTGACCAGGGACATGTCCAGGAGCGACTGCCGCTGAAGGCTATAGGCAGGAACAGTGCCAAAGCCAGCCAAGGCACCCTCCCCATCTTCCTCCTGGTCAACACATTTCCTCTTCAGTCCTCGTGCAAACATTGTGCCCTGTGGGAACCAAGGAAGAGGCCACTTAGCACATCTTGGCACCCTGGCACAGTGCCCCCAGGACACTCATCAAAGAGAGAAGGGGCATCTGCATACGGGCACAAAGGCATGTCCTGGAAGGCAGCGTTGTGTCTGTGATATACGCACAGCCATACTGTCAGCAACAACAAAGCTTAAGGCTGTAGCACGACTTTTCTACCCACAGAAAAATGAACAGAAATAGGAGAAACTTTATTTCTTAGAGCCAGGCTCAAAATCTGCATGAAACAATCCACGCATTCGTGCCTGTGAAAGAAGAGGAACTCTGCGGTGAGGCACAGAACACAGGGCCATGGAGAGGACAGGGCTTGCAGACCACATCAACAATACTGTCCACCTTCCAAAACCGATTAGCTATGGGATCCTCACCAGTGATAAAGTCCTACATGTTTTAGAAGGGCTGCTCCTTCCCTTCGAGAGCTCACTAACAAAATTATGGTCCCCTATGGCGGACGGCTCACTGGGAAATCGTACTCCAGAGATGCCCAGATCAGAACGCTGGCCTATGTCCTCCAGCGGACAGGCATTACCTGGCTCCGCAGCAGCACCTTCAGAAGGGACCAGGGCCCCGAAAAGCCCCCTTGTTCTCATGTTGTGTAACACAGTGGCTCAGCACAGCTGGGGCTCACAGTGATTACCTGGGGCTCTCCTTCCATGCTCGTGCAGGAGCTGAACATTTTTATTTCAACTAACTTGAGATAAATGAATAAATTCAAACTATTCAGAGTCTTTTAAAAATGCAAACTTTTAGGATTTTTTTTTTTCAATCCAATGACTCCCTGTGGTTGGAGTGCAGCCAGGTGGCTCTGGGGAGCTGATGTGGGAGGCATGTGCTGTCCCCCACGCAGGGCCCAGGAATAAGCAGTAGGTAAGCTATGCAGTGTGGAACAACCAGCTGCCAAGTGTCCCTCCCCAGGACAGCCCTGGTGGTGACTGTCTTGCTGGCTCTACCCTGGGAAGGACAGGAAAAGATCCCCTGTCCTTCTGAATATCCTTTCAAAGTCCTAGATATCACCTCCCATGCTTGCAACACTTTAAATTTTATTAACTAAAGTAACCCCTTGGGCATTTATCCCAAAGAAATGAAAGCCAAGGTTTATGTATAAACGTATACAAGAACATTCACAGTGTTCACACCAAACAGCTCCATGCTGGAAACAGTCACCTCAGCTGGGGATGGCCAAGGAGAGGCCAAGGGATCACCACCCTGTGGGATCTCACTTGACATTTATGCAGTGGCAAACTAAGGGGTGGGAGGGCCATGCAGGGCAGGCACAAGAAATCCCTGGAGTGAAGGGGATCTACACCTGGGCAAGTGTGCTACACTGCAGAGGACCCCACTCCCCACTGCCCCTGGCACCCACCTGGAGCATCAGGGTCACGCACACAGGGCCTCTGTGCCAGTTGCTGTGGGTCTAGAGAATTTCAAACTGAAGAGTTAAGCCTGAGCCATGGTTTTCCCCAGCAGCAAAGTGGCATGACCACCTACACAGGTCCACACCGCACACAGCAGCGGACCTGTTCTTAAATGAACAGGAGCTCACCACCAAGACACATTACACTCTATCCCGTCTGGTATTATAGCATTCAAGTTCTTTGTCTTGGTGCAAATTCAACTTTTACAGAATTACTGTTTCTAAAAACCCAATCACATTTAAACCACTGGTATAATAAAATTGTCAAGTTTATCAAGAAAATATAAAATTATGTCAAACCACAGAAAAAAAATTGTTTGGGGGAAAAAAATTAAACTCCAAAGATTCCTCCGTGGCAAGTCCCTCTTTCTCTTTTGGTTCTGGGTTTCTCTTTTCAACCATAAAATTCCAACTCTGCAAGATTTAATGTAGGACTCAAATGTCATAAATTAAGTCCTAGTTTACAAAACTTCTGGCTGCCCTCTCTGACTTTGGAAACCAGGTAATGACTGGGTAGGTCCACCAGAAGTCAAGATAGCCTACCAGGGGCACATGGGGCAACTCACAAAAGGAGTAAGAATGGGGCAGGACCAAGACCCACCCCTCAAACCTGAACACAGCTCCAAAACTATCCTGAGAACTAATGACCTTGACACCCCTATCTCCTGGTCATAAGCCTCTGGGCAGCACACTCAACAAAGACCCTCACACTGAGTTCTGGAAGCCAGATGTGGTCCTAGGACCCCAGGGAATGTGAAAAGCCTGAGTTCAGTGCTCGGCTACAGCTGGTAAGCAGCCCCTAGGCCATGCCAGGACGGCACTGCTGCAGAGAAAGCAAGCCAAGGCACCCTTAACAGGATGTGCTCTTAGAACTTGAATGTACACATCAGCAACAGCTGGACCACATTCAAACAGAACCCTGACCCACAACCTGCAGCAAGGAGCCCACAAGCCAGCTGCTGACCTACAGGACAACCTGGAAGTCCACAGGCTCTCTAGGAAGCTAAACAGCAACTTGCTAACAAAGGCACCAGCCAACACATAAAAACAACAGCTGCTCTAGTTTCTGTCCCTGCTGCAGAGTTGGACTAGTCAGAGAGGGGCAAACAAATAGCCCTCCTCCCACCCTTGCCTCTGTCTCTGGTGGAACTGTCCCCTATCTATAGTAGCTCCTACACATCCACCACCTGTTCTCACCTGCCTGGCTGCTGAGACAGCTTGCTGACAATCAAAAAGCACGAAACACAATGTCCTACAATCCTAAGCACTCAGAGAAAGCCAGTCACCCGTGGGTCCCTTCCTCCCAGCCCTTCCCAAGGCAGCCCTTCCCTGCAGGTCCACTGCCAGCTCTGCCTGGATGGAAGTCTGATCCCCACAGTGTGGAGATGCCCACTCAGAGTCTGCAGGAGCACAGCAGCTGTACCTGGCCAGGCCACATCACTCACCTACACCTAGATTTTTGTCACAGGTAATAATGGTTTCCAAGTTCAGGTGATGCAATGGTTCTGGCACTTGGTTTCCTAACCCTTGATTCCTGGATTAGTACCAGGGACAGGGGCAGAAACATTTGAAAGGCACTTGTTGAACACATCGACAAAAGCTGCTTTTTGGGAGGACTGAACCACCCTATCAATTTTACTCTGCATTAATGTTTGCACATATGCTGGAAAATTCTCCCTACTGCTTTACCAGTTCTCTAAGTTCACTGCTCTACCTGCAGAGTGACCCTGCTCCACATCCATGCTTCTGCTGGCCTCACACTCTGCCCTTAGCCTTCTCTTACCACCCTGGGATGAGGACATTCCCCCATCCCAGTACTGGGGATGGAACCCAGGGCCCTGAGAATGCCAGGCAAGGGTTCTACCACCAGTTACAGCCCCAGCTTGAGGACATTCTTTAAACATTAAAAATAAACAAGTTGCTGTGTGCAGTGGTGCATGCCTGTAATCCCAGTGCTTGGGAGGCTGAGACAGGAGGATAGTGAGTTCAAAGCCAGCCTTAGCAAAAAGTGAAGCGCTCAACAACTCAGTGACACCCTGTCTCTAAATAAAATACAAAACAGGCCTGGGGATGTGGCTCAGTGGTTGAGTGCCCCTGAGTTCAATCCCTGGCACCCCAAAAATAAATAAAAAACAAGTCTACAGCTCAGGAGGCTGAGGCAGGAGGATCACGAGTTCAAAGCCAGCCTCAGCAAATTGCTAAGCAATTCAGTGAGACCATCTCTAAATAAAATACAAAATAGGCCTGGGAGTGCGGCTCAGTGGCCAAGTGCCCCTGAGTTCAATCCCAAGTTACATGGATAAGCTGCAGTGTAGTCTCACAATGGAATACAACTCAGCAACAAAAAACATAGAGGCCTCTGTTAACAACAGGAATGGATCACAAAGGTCCTATGCTGAAATACACAGTGCATGACCCACCCACCTGAGTCGACAACCTAGTGATAGCAATACACGGCAGACAGTGCTGCTGCTGTGGATAGCAACTGCTGGCAAGGGGCAGAGGGACTCTAGGATGTGGGGACACACCCCTCAGCAACATAGGACACATATCTGTCAATATTCACTGAACTGCACTGTATCTGTTCATTTTATTGTATTAAATTATACTTTGATTACAAAGAAAATAAGTAAATAAGTCAGCTAAGGATGTGGTAAAGGGCTACCACATTAAAACTGAAAGCCACTTTGGCAAATGCCTCTTCTGCATGTAAGGTGTGCCAGATCTCCTTCTGTGCACTCTAATAATATCATCCACTTCAAGTGCTCCTAATCCCAAGCAAGTAGTAATATTGTTATTCCAATAAAAAAAAAAATTTACTACTACAAAAAAGAGTTCATGGGCAGTTTTTACAATTTCATGACCCCAAAGTGCTATTGCCCAAAACCTGTGATCCAGAATAAGGGGATAACAGTGGGCCCAGGAGACTTGTAAGGAACCCCTATTCAGATTCTCTGTCGGAGACCAAGTTGCATTAAGCATGGTTCTAACTGGCCCTAAAGGATGTCTGGGACAGAGGTAAGAAACACAGATCCTCCTCAGCTGACCTGGTCTGGGAACAACTCACTGCGGTTGCCCTGAGGTTGCTTAGCCCTTCCAATGCAAAACCCTGTGGGCTGCAGAGCTTGGCTTCCTGCTAAGTTGTACATAGAGTACGGTAGCTATCTCACACCTCCCTTATTTCCCACGAAGCCAGAGTCTGTCCACGTCTAGTTAAATGACTCAAATCCCACCAACTGGTGTCTTCAGAACAACCAACACCAGCAGGATTTAGCCCTCCATCCTCACCCTCAGGCCTCCTCCAGGCCAAGCACAGGCCTGAAGACAGGGCCAGGTGAACAAAGGAACTCTTGAGATGGCAGCAAGGCAAAGCAGAAGCTAGCCAGGAGCAAGGGGAGTGACTGTAACTGCTCCCCTGGAGCAACCCAAGGGAGACAGACAGGGACCGCCCCCAGCTGCATACTGTACTCTAGCAGCAGTTCTTAGTGGCTGAAAATTCAGACCCCCATATTCTGATCAGGAGGGCTGGGTGGTCAGGGACAGTCCTGGCTCTTACCTCAACCACTCTTATGGATATTGGGCTTAAATGCTAAAAATGTCCATTTCTATCACACAATCAGATTCAGGTGAAATATATCATCAAAAAAAAAAAAAATAGGGAGGATGTAACAAGGTGGGAAAGTGCAGAGTCCCCTGGTCTCTCTGGCTGCATGTGAGTTCATCATTCCACCACCATCTGCTGACAGCTCCTACCAGTTGGCTACAATTACTTTTGATGCTCAGAGGATATAAGACTTTCTTATGCCTGGAAGCAGGTTCCGGGGGCAAATTGAGGGGAACTTCCTGGCCTCCTTCCCAGATAAAACCTGCCGCTCTGCCTAGAAAAGTCATGGCTGACTTTCTAGTCTTTCACTAAAAAACATGGTGACCAAAGCAGTCATATTACTAAGTTCCTAAGACGTTAATCTTAATTTTGTCAGCTCGTTTGAAAGAATGGTTACCTCAGTCCTATGGACTGAGAGGCCAGACACAAAGGCCAGCAGGGGAAAAAACACGGAGGCTGTCTGGGCCAGTGCATCTCCGGAAAGTGCTCAGAAAAGCCTTTTCCTTGGTGACCCTACTTTAGGGAGAGAAGCTTTTGAAATTGTCTCTGGTGCTTTTTCGGGTCCCACCTAAGAGAACAGGCAGGACTGTCCAGGGCAGCCCACGACCAGCTCAGAGGGAGGACGGTCCACTGAGCAGGCGGAGAGACGCCCCCTGGGCGCTAAATAACACGGGAAACAAAAGCAAAGAATGCCTGCCCTGCACCCGAGGGAGGAAGGATCCCCGGCGCGGCTGCTCCGCCAGCAGGACCCCGGGCAGGCCCAGCGCTCCCACGCGCCCTCGGGAGGGAAACCGGGCAGGAAGAGGCCAGAGGGTCAGCACGGGCGCGGGCAGGGTGGGAGCAGGAGGAAGGAGAGGGTGGACGGAGGGCGACGGAGAGGAGCCGAGGACGGAGGGTGGACCGAGAGCGGGTGGGCGAGGGGCGCGGAGCCCGAGGGCAGGAGGCCGCCGGCAGGGTGTCGCTCCGGTCGGCAGGCGGATGCCCTCCCGAAGGGTCGCGGTGCGACGAGCGCGCACGTGGCAGCGGCCGGGAAGCCCGCTGCGACCCGCCCACCCCGCGAGCGCTCGGCACGCGCAGAGGCTCCCCAAAGCCCGTCGCCTGCTCGCTCACCTGCGCCGCCAGGCCGGCCGCCGCTCAGCTCGGAGCCCGGGAGCCGCTCAGCGCCCACAAAGGGTCGCCATGGCGCCGCTGCGCGCCCGCCGATTGGCCGAGCGCTGGGCGGGGCTCCGTTCAAACCCGCGCGGGGCGGGGCTTGGCGACACGGCTTCCCGCGCGGCGGTGGCCGTTGGGCCCTCGTGCTCCGCCACTCCGCCCCGCGCCGTACGCCCTCCCACTCCCAGACGCCCTCACGCCCGGCCCCGCCCCAGCTCCCAGACGGCCTCGCGCCCGACCCCGCCCCCAACTTCCCCGTGGCGCTGCGCCCCACCCCCAGCACCCAGGTGCCCTCACGCCCAGTCCCGCCCCTCCTGCTCCCAGGTTTCCGCGCGCCCCGGCCCGCCTCCTGCTCCCAGGTCTCCGCGCGAGCTTGGGACCGCGTCTGCGCAGCGCCTCCTTCTCGCGAGCTCTCTGGCGGAGGGTAGCTGAGGACTTGCAGGGCTACCGTATGGAGGCCCGGGTGCCCCGTGCCGCCCGTCCCGCTCGTTAGCAAGGAAGCCGTGAGCCCAGCGAGCAGTGGCGGCTTCGTGATGGCGGGGCGGCTCGCTGTAGGGCCGTGCGCGACGTCCGGGTTCGCCCGGCGCCGTGGAGAAACGAGTGGACCTGAGGCCCGACAGCCTAGGCGCGCTAGGGGCCCGCCTCTCCAGGGAAGGGGGACTTGTGGCCCCGGGAGGGACTCAGCTTCCTCCTGCGGGATGCAGAGGAGCGACAGGACCTGAATTGTGCTGGAATGCGTGGTTGGTTTCACATTCCAAAGTCAACACAGTTCACCACAGAGAATCGCAGTTGGGGATACATTTGGGGAGGCGCGGCGCGGAGGAGCCAGCTCGCTCAGGTCGCTGCAGTCCAGCTTGTGAGAACTTGCGAGCTCTGCATGTCCGACGTCCGGTAAAAAACAAACGCTTGTAGCCGGACCCACACAGAAAATGCAGTTCCCTGTACGCAGATGTCCTGCGCACGAAAACAAGACTCCAAACCAGTAGAAAGTGGGCAAAGGAGATAACGCACACCCTTAAGCAGGTGACAAGAAGTTCAACGCAAATTGCAGCAGTGATGTATGCCATTTTTCCACCCACCAAATTTGCAGAGATCAAAAATATTCTCTGCAGCTGGACTCTGCTTTCACTCAGTGTCCAATAATATTCAATAAAATATTAACAAGGCATGTCAGGACCAAAAAAGGTGGGAAAACGGGGCGGGGGGGCCGAAGGGGCAGATAACAGAAACAGATATCAGAGTTGTCAAGTTTTCAGGAAACTGTAATTAATGTGTTCAGGGAAATTTAACCACAAAAACTAGAATCTATTAAAAAAATTTTTCCTTTTTCTTTTTTCTTCCATCCAAGTGGAAGAAATAGCATCATCAATCTTAATTCTTTTTTTCCTCCTTTTTTATGTTTTTGTACCAGGGATTGAACCCAGGCACACTTCACCCCTGAGCTATGTCCCTAACCCTTTTTATTTTGAGAGAGGGTCTGGCTAAGTTTTTGAGGCTAGCCTCAAGCTTGCGATCCTCCTGCCTCAGCCTCCTGAGCCACTGTGATTACAGGCATGCATCACTGCACCTGCCTAAATATCTTTTTTAAGAAGCAAAAGTTCCTTATTTGCCCAGGCTGCGCTTGAACTCCTAGGCCTAAGCAATCCTCCTGCCGTGGCCTACTGAGTAGTTGGGGCTACAGTGTGACCACCATGCCCATCTACAAGTCTCCAGTTTGTTATACTAGAGTCAGCCAAACCTTGATGCTGAAACTTGGAGAGGACAAGAAAAATGGACAGGCTAGTCTTTCATGAGCTTACTTTAAGATTCCAAATCAGATCCAGCGTGATAAAATATAATCAATCACAACCAAGTTGGGCTTACTCCAGGAATGCATGGTTGGTTTCACATTCCAAAGTCAACAGAGTTCACCACAGAAGTGTAATAAAGGAGAAAAAGGCATGAAAAGCTCAGTAAGCACAGACAAAGAAAGCATCTGATAAGATTTGACATCCTTTCATGATGAAAGGATGGGAAATATGCACATACAGACTCAAAAACAGTCCACAGCACTGCCCTCACTTCTGACACCAAATGCAAGATTGGGGGTCACGAGGACCACAGCCATGTTTTTAAAGATTCCCTACAAGAACTCAGAACATTGACGCAGCCACCAGAAAAAAAGGAACCTCTGGTCTACACCACAGGAGCCAAATCTTACCCATGACAGGAGCCAAATCTTACCCATGACAGGAGCCAAATCTTACCCATGACAGGAACAAGCTGGGAAGGGGTCCTGAGCTCCAGATGAGGACCAGCTAGCAGTTGCCACTATTGCCATCCAAGCACCTTGTTGCCGGAAGGACCTGGGGAGCAAAGGACAATATGAAGCCCACTGTGCCCTCAATGCCATGAGTAGCAGAGCCTTTTGTCTGAGGCCCAGGAGTCTCCAGTCTCCCATCACGTGCCCAGCACTGGCAGCCTGTTGGCTGAGCTGTAGTTTGAATATGGTTTCAGTGTCCCCAGGGTTCATGCGTTGGGAGCTTGGTCTGCAGTGTGATTATTTGGGGGGATTGTGGGGCCCTTAAGAGGTGGGGCCTTGAGAAATCATGCTCGGAAGGGGTATTCTGAGGTACCAGTTCAGTTCCCAAGAGAGAAGGTTATAAAGGTGCAAGACTGGGCTGGGGTTGTAGCTCAGTGGCAGAGTGCGTGCCTAGAAATGTGAGACACTGGATTCAATCCTCAACACCATATATCAACATATAAACAAAGAAAGGTCCATTGACAACTAAAAAAAAAATTTTTTTTTAAGGAGCAAGACTGGCCCTCCCTACTCTGATTCGCCATGTGATCTCTTTTCACACATGCTCTCAACATTGTAATGCCATCTGCCATAGGGCCCTTACTGCTGAGAGCCAGGCTGAGTCTGTATGGCCCCTGGCATTTTGCCAACAGTATTGATTGACAGGCGCCTCTGCCTGTCCGCCTCTGCCGCAATCTCGCACTATTTTGGAGTTCTCGTGGGGATTTCCGGGGATTCCCCGAGAGTTCCCATTGGTTGGGGAAGTGCAGGAGGAGGGATTTCCGGGAGATATAGTTCCAGCTGGGGGTTGCTGGACAAGCCTCGTGGCGCGTTCGGGAGGTTTCCCCGGGAGCTGTGTGAAGTGTTTTCCTGCAGTTTAAAAATAAAGTTTGTTCCTGCTTCAGTGGCTCGTGATTTGTGCCCAGCCAGACTGCGGCACCTTACCAGAGCCAAGCCAGTGTCAGCACCATGCGCTTGAACTTCCAAAACTATGAGCTAAATAAACCTCTTTTCCTCATATAATATCGAGGCTCACGTATTATGTTATAGCAATAGAAAACAAGACTACGAGCTTACAAGCTGGGAAAATCTCTAACCTTCCATTTCTCCTTTCTAACCTCTTCATGAAAAACAGCTTTAACCTGCCTAGGGAGCCAGGGAAAGGATCTTGAAGGGTGCTGGGAGTTGAAAAAATAAGCAGATATAGTGTGGATAAAGAATTCAAGCCCTCTCACTGTTGGAGAAAGGAACTGCAAATAAGGAATGGGCAGGCTGGACCAGCTGTTGGATTGAAATTGGAGATACTAATACAAATCCACAGTTTGACTATAGTTAGATATAGATGTAGACGTATATGTGTATGTGCATGTGTTCAGACGTGTATACTCCAAGTTCTGAAATGGCTGCCCTAGCAGCAACACACCTGGAGCCCAGGTCTTAGCTTCCAACCCCCACCAGCTCCAGGGAGGAGGGCCAAGCCAAGACCAGAGCCAGGTAAACTAACGTGTTCCAGGAAGTGAGGAGTGTTCAAGAGTGGACAGACAGGCGGAGGGGACACAGCACCAGCCTACCTTACAGAGCAGAAGAACAACTCTTTTTTTTTTTTTTTTTTTTTTAATTTATTTTTTTAGTTTTTGGCGGACACAACATCTTCGTTTGTATGTGGTGCTGAGGATCGAACCCAGGCCGCACGCATGCCAGGCGAGCGCGCTACCGCTTGAGCCACATCCCCAGCCCCGAAGAACAACTCTTGAGCCTGAATTAAATTCAGACATAGAAAGTATATAACATGCATGCATATGGGAGAAAGGGGCCAGACCTCACAGAGGGATCTCAACCTCCCAGGAACTACTTATTTTATTTAATGAATGCAAAATGCTTACTGACTAACCTTGCAGTGGGGAGACTTGGTGGACCCCCACCTCACCCAGACAACAGGAGTTAGCATTGCCAGTGCCACCGAGATAGCCACCTTGAGCCTGGGATAGGCCACATAGCGGAGAGACCTCACTCCAGAGACCTCACTCCAGAGGGATTCCTGCTGGAAATGCAGAAACCTTGGCAGGAGTTCTGCAGATTTGCAGGCCTTGGACACGTGGCAGTTTCCTTATGTTGACTGATTCGGCAAGTCTGTTTACTTCCAAAGTACTTGGAGATGTGGAGGGTCACAAGCATCAGTCTACAATGTATCCTGAGGTGGTGCAGAAAAAAAAGTTAAATGGGAAGAAAGAATAATAAGGCAAATGTGGAAAATATTAGAGGTTGGGGCATGTGGGAAGGGAGCATCCAGATTTTTTGTACTGTTTGCCATTTTTCTATAAATTGGAAATTATTTCAGAATAAAAAGTTGGATTAAAAATCTACCTGATCTTGGGCCAGGGTTGTGGCTCAGCGGTAGAGCGCTCACCTAGCACATGTGAGGCCCTGGGTTCGATCCTCAGCAGCACATAAAAATAAATAAAGGTATTGTGTCCAACTACGACTCAAAAATAAATATTAAAAAAAAAACTACCTGATTGTAGAAGCAGAAATCAGAATAGTGATTACCAGAGGCTGAGAAGGGTAGGGAAAGAGGGGACCCAAGCACAGACAGGAGGGGTGAGTTCCGTGTCTCACAGTGCAGTGAGTTCACCATAACCATAATATAACTTTATAAAGATGGAGCAGAGAGGAGCTCAAAGACGGCAATTATAAAGTGTATGTATACATATATACACACATATGTACATATAGTTTATATGTGTGTGTGTGTGTGTGGGTGTGTG